CATTTTAAAAAAGTAAGAGAATGAAGCTAATTGCTGTGCAGTGCTTCGCATACCTGTTGAGTATTTGCCGGTAGCACAACGCCATTAGCTCGAAGAGCATCCATTATCTCCGAGGCCGAGCACATCTTCTGCTCGGCATTATTCAGCTCTGGAAATATGCTTTGATCTTTCATTTAAAAGCCAAAAGAACACCAACAAAGATACTCCGGAATCTCCGATGCTACTAGAAGATGCGTAAGATGATTGCAATCGGCCTGAATTCTTAGCTACCCGCAAAACTTGACGCAGCAGCACTGGATTTGCATTGTGTTAGCGAAGATACAATAATTTATTCAGCCGGTGGTGTTTCGCGCCTTGAATGCTATTCCTACCAAGATTTTACCGCCACTTGCCAATCTTTTCTCGAAAAGGATGGCCTCTATGGAAAGTTCCGTTTCTCAATCTTGATCTCATCCATACGCGAATCCTACATATAAGCAGGCATATAAAGAACGGATTCCCATTACCGACTGGCCAGATTTTCCAGAAATTTTAAGTAATTTAGGTAATTTATTCAGGGATTTATGCAATACAAGCATGCAACTCTTCGAAAATACGCAGAATCGGTTTCTTCCTTTCCCGCTAGTACCACTCAAATGACAAGTGGCATTCGCAAGCTATCAGCGAAACAATGAAAAATTTGATTTCGCACAGATTTAGTGTTAAATTTAGAACAGAATTCAGCGAATTTAGTTTTCAATTCAGATGGGGCGATAATTGCTCTGTTGCTGCTGTCACGCTTACAGGCTGAACCGAAGACGATCCCAGCTGGCGGATGAGTATAAGAATTTCAGTAGCATACAAAAACTCGGTCAAGAATTTCAATAGCAAAATCTCGATTTAACTGTCTTGAACTTATGCGCAAGTGAGTAAAACATGAGAAAAGTATCAAGGGTATAACGCTAATGAGAATTACTGAAAATTCCTCTAATACTCAACGGGAACGCTTCATTACTGCATGATTTAGCTCGTTTAAATCGTCTCTTCTAGGAATATCCTGATACGACGTGTTTTCAAGGAAATTATTAACATCTATACGGAAGAAAACGAGCCAACCTTGGATAGTTGTTTTCAATGCTTTCAGGAACAACACGCATTCTTTT